AAACACCCGGCGCCCTGCTGGCTCCCGACCCATCCCTCGCGTGGCTCGCCTAGCTCCCACCTCCAGCGCTCTGCCTCCCCGGAGCTCCGTCTGAGTCTGACGCCTCGCCGCACACCTGATTTTCAGGTCGTCCAACACTCCAACGGGTGCAACGCCGCCCAAACGAGCACTGTGTCGCCGTCCATCCCACGTGGCTCTAGTCGAGCTGGGCCAGCAGGGCAGTGGAAGCCTACATAGTGCAGCCGCGCTGCTGCGTTCGGATCACGTTTCCGCCGAGCAACTTCCCCTTTCAGGAAGGAGGAGTCGCGGAGTCCCGTCAAAACCGTTGCGATGGACCCGATCCTTAATTGGCGACTGTAAGGCTTTTCCCGAAATTTCTGCAGCGCAGAACAGACCAGCGACTAACGCAGCCTGCTCTGTGCTTGCTGCAGCCCTAAGAGTCCCGAGTGCTGGGAATGGGATGCGTGGGACAATCTCGAGGTAGGCGATGGATCCCGCCTCCCAGAGCCGCTGTGCCTGTGGGCCTCGCTAACGATTAAATTGAACTAGAACGATCCCATCCCCTTCCGTCCCCCCGTTAGGCTGCATCCATCCGGCTTCTCGCCGCTTTCTAGCCTTTCTAGCCGCTGGGTCTGCCCCCCCCCTAACGCCTCGCGCCAACTCCCCCGGAAATCCGCCGGTGGCTGCCGTTGACACGGTTGCAACTTGCAAGCAACATGCTCGCCATCGGGAGTGCTAGCGATCAGGGTCATCTTCAACAAACAGCCTCCCTCTAGCTGTCGAGCTACCAATCCTTTGGTTCCCTCCTCAACGCCTGCCTATTCTCTATACCGTTTCAGGTGTCTGCACGGCCAATGCCTCCGTCGATGACGGAAAAGACAGAAAGACGACTGTTTTCACGAGATTGCCAGGCGTTTCGGATCAGAGACGCCTCGAGCAAACCGTCAAACGAGATGAAAATAAGGAGGACAGGATGACCCGGTGCTCCATAATTAATGCTGCAAGGCCGTCAACCGGTTTGTCATCACTTCAGGTGGAAAATGGCATCCGTATGGTTCACACTCGAATCATCGATTGCCAACAAATTGCTCAGCTACAAATTACAATCGCCAGTGCCGAAATCATTTCGTTGCGACCAACTGCGTCAGCAGAATCAACCTGGATCGTCGTGTCGTGAAACAGGAAAAAAAAACCTTGTTTTCATGCTCCAGCTGCTTCTAGTAGTCATTACTGAGTACTCCGTGTCTAGCTTGATGTCATCCCGGCACATAAGCAGCTTCGAGTTGACTGGCGGCCGCGTCTCCAGACGTCTCCAGATTTCAGAGTTTGCGGCTCTTTTTTTTTGTCCGAGTTGCATGTGAAGAACATTTCAGGAACGGACATCTCGACTCGTAATTGGTCCGGATGTTTTTCGGTACTCTCTGCACACAGTACTCCATCGACTCTGTATTCGCCGATGTCAAGGATCCCCAGCGAGATTCGGGTTATAGGGTCTTTCACTTCGCTAATTCCAACCCTTTGGACCCTTGTTTCATCCCGGTGCTCACTGCTCACTTCGAGGCAATAATGAAAAACATCCCATACTATCCGTACCTCGAATCGCGTTGGGGACAGAATAATGACGGACGGTGGAGACCGCGCACCACAGGGTTTCCCGACAGGTACTCTGCGCCCCTGTGCGCCATCACAATTCGTAACGTATAAGGTTGGCCAGAACCGACGAACAATTCTGGTGCGAGTTAGAGAGCCACTAAGATTCGGGGAAGACAACCCGACCGCCAATTTGTTTGCTGATGTTTCCAACATCCTGGCTCCTGACCTCGGTTCCCGCGTACCTGCAGCAGCGCCATGCAAGGTGGACTCCCGCCGTTCCGGAACGCTGCGGTTGTTACCCGTTCCGTCCCATGGATCCATCCTCATCTCCTGCCTAGCACCCATCCTCTGCGAATCGATCCATGGCAGTGCTGTGCCGTCTCGCCGGTACCTACGGAGTACGTCTAGTGGTGGCTTTCTTGCTTCTGCGTGATCGAGGCTGCCCATCTAGCGAGTCTGCGATGGATGGGTCTGCCACATGGAGATCCCGTGATACCCAGTCCAGCCTCATCGGCCGAGAGGCATGAAGCATGGGTGGTCGTGCCATTCTGCTCGACCTGCCCAGAGCTAGGAGTCACTTGTTCACGTTCTTTCTGACGAGTAAATACGGAGTAGTCATCTAGGATTCCTTCGTGCCTGGTGCCTGGAGTTTTGTCCGGCCAATAATAGAAAAAGGACGTGAACAGAGATCGATAGCGCATCCGAAGAGGTTCTGGAATGCATCTATCAGAATCGTCCTATCTTCAGAACTGGCCCACAGACTACAGTTGCTTATTCGGAGTATGGAGCACTCCGTGACATACTTCCAAAAACTTCGGTTGGACCTGTCATCCGTGGCTGTGCACTTGCCAGTCAGACTACCGTCGTCGATTTGTCACAGATGAACCGATTCAGACGCGTAGGCCCCTGTCTCGAGTCTCCCGACAGCAAGAGCCAATTCCAGCCAGCCTGACGGCAGATGTCTCAAATCTCAACAATAATACCGATAATAATTGCGATCACTGCATACCACTGCCTTGGCGATTTCTTGTCAAATGAGGCTAGAACCTACCCGGCAGAATGGTCGCGTTCAGCCCCCTAACTGTGGCTCGATAATAGGCAACTCGTCTGGCCTTCCCAGTCAGGGATGGACGGCGCCGAGACCATTCGCGCGGAAGCCTTCCGTAGTGCCGGGTGGCCGGCGGTTCTTGTCCATCGGTCCCAAAAGTTGGCAGACGCCCGTTATTCGACCGATTGACAGCGATTATTGAGCGATTGAGGCTTCCTGACGTGTCGATCATTGACGGATCCATTCCATCGGACCTCCAGAGACGACCAATTTTGTGGAAGCGAGCTGGCTTAGTCAAATAATTCCCAGACGGCCGGGGAGGCGGCTTTCAATCCGGCACTATGAGGCTGATCATTGTGCCCACAGCCGTCAGTGCCCGTCAGGGCCGTCACCAGGTGCCGTGGACAGAGGCAGCATCGAGATGAGTATTAGGAATTAGGATCGAGACCGATCTTCTATCGGGTTTACGCGGCGTCGTTTGTACGGAGTAAGCATGAGTAGGAGTACTCCGTAGTCCGTACAGAGCACTCCTCCGTACGAACGACAAACTGCAGTGAGGAGATAATAATGCTCTGACTGTGCCATCTCCTTTTCTCGTTTGAAGGCTTCATATTCCTCACCTGCCGCAAATTGCATCCCTAGACGCCACATTCTTGGCAGCAATCAACAAACATGTTCAGCCACAAAGTACAGAATTGGAGTATGGAGTATGGAGTGCAGAGTGCATTACTCCTACATAATCTGTACATACAGCCATCAATCGGATTCCTGCCCTGTCCTGTCCTGTCGGATTGACGCCAGGTCCGTGCTGAGTGAGATTCTGGGGTACTGTACGATCGATCGGAATGCTCGTGCAGGATCTCAAATCGCTCCGCAAGGAGGGCAGTACTGTACATTCTACAGTCTATCTACAGCGTACTCCGTACAGAATGCATATTTTGGGAATGTAGTATCATGCAAGTTGCTGCAATTAGTAAAGCGAGACTGTCCCAATAAGGCAGATTACAGCGAGCAAGGATGGTACAGCCCTAGCATAAGCGCGAGGCGCGCACACACATGCACACAGACAGAGAGAGATCTAGATATGAACATTCCAACTGCCAAAAAAAAATGAGATTCATGCAGCAGATATGATTATCTGCACAGCTAGCGATATGAATCATATGATAGTGTCGTATTATTTAATTGACTGCTCGCGACTCGCGACTCGCGATATCTCTGCCTGTTTGGTATGGCTACAAGGCATACCTTGCTCGCAAGTGTGGCTGAAAAAGAAGTGACCTATACGTCGTTGCTACGAGGCAAGTTAATTACCAAGTTAAATTAAATACAAATTCGATATTTCTTTTCTAATTAACCAACCAGTCTGTTTGCTAGGCAAAAAAAGAGTACAACCAGTTCACTCGTATCAATA